TTGTTGTTATTTGCAATTTTCGTTATCGTTACTGTTGCTGTTATTTGCAAGTTTCGTTATCGTTACTAACAGATGTCTATAGTAAGCTAAGAGTTGCGAAATAGAGTATGTTCTAGGCTCTAGGTTCTTTTGGGTTTGTAAGTAGGGATGTGTGATTTGTGATCTGGGATGGGATCTACAATCTCCTTGATAGATTAATAAGATGTATGTCAACCTGTTTTGGTTTCTGAAGAGAGGTGTGTCTCTTGTCTTTTATGTTGAAAGGGTTGGGCTGGGGAAGGATACTGTGAGAGCTATTTTGGCGATTTTGGTGAATATCAGGAGGAGGAGATATTTACTTTAGGAAAAGATTGCGGGGGTAGGGAAAGAGTCGCTGGGTGAGTGGTATATAGGTACGGGTATATAAGGGACTTTGGTGGTGGGATTGGTCATGTAGGGAATTGATTGAGCGACGCTAGAGACGGAGATCTATGGGTTGAAGATGGAGTTGAATGATGGAGATTTGATGTAGGGAATGGTGGTGAGATAGAATGAGATGAGATAAAAAGAATTGGCAACTAATTCTTGAGCATTGATGATGAGCTGAGTTGCAGACAGCGAAAGTTTGAAAGCGTGTTGTCGTTGTCACAGGTTTCAAGGGTCTATAGTACTAGGGCACAGCTGTTTGCCGAACACCGAAATCACACCAAAACTTATATAAATTATCTATATATTTTTCAATAATAGTATAAATTTTATTTAATGTATTTTATATAATTCTATTTGTTTTCAATTGAAATTTAATAAAAATTAAATAGTTTTTTTTTAAGATTTTTATTTATTATAAAATCTATATAGAAAGTTGATATAATTTGAAAATATTGAAATTTACTAGTAAAATAAGCAAAAATCAAGAACTTTTCTTTTGACTTAGATTCAATCTTATAAATAATAATATTCCTATATTTTAAAATCAAAAGAATTATAAATTCTGAGTATTTCATTATATAATAAAACTATATTTAAAATTCTAATCAATTTTAATAATTTTGAATATTTTATTTTTATTTATATAAATAGAGCAAAATGACCATTTATGGTATGATTTTTGAAACCGACAAACAGCTGTACGCGGTTACTGTATAGTGCCGATGACAGATGGCAGAAGAAAATAGAAATACTCGACGACAATGAAAGGTTTTAAAACTTCGACATCGTACGGCTCTCGGTCTGCAACTTGATACCATGAACAGATCCATATGATAGAATCCGAACATAATACCCTAGCTGTCTCGTTTGGGAATGACCTGTGGCTGTTGTGGAAAGAATTAGCTATGTATGAGCGAAGTCACGGTTTTATAGATCTTACATGACCTTTTTAGGCCTGCGGGTCTTCTAAGCTGAGGGGTGAACAAGTAGGCTCCAGGTTTATGATTCACTTCAAGCGCTGTCTCACGGAATGATCAAGTGGGGATCTTCATTGAGAATAAATTCAAGTCTATATATACTGGGAGAACTACTTTGGAATTGAGAGATTTGTGCATAGAGAGAGAAGCCTATTAGGATTGAATGGGGAGTGCAAAGCCTGAGGTGATTTTTGGGACCTGTGTACCAAGTGTTTGTATTGTTGGTGAATTTAGAAATATATGGCAATTAGAAGATGAGACTATTTAACTGGGTAGCTAAGAATACTATCATCTCCTGAGTAAGAGATCTTGATCGAATTACTGGCAAACGACAATGAAATGATGAACAGATTGTTCTTTTTGTACATATCAGATGAAGAATAGGAGCTAGGTTGACATCATTCTTCGATATATAGCAGGCTTCCACGTTTGTATAGTGAATAATCAGTACGAAAAGAAGTTCAAAACAAGACAGGATTATCTGAAAGTACTAGAACCGTGAGCTTTATCGGTTTACTAGTTTAATCTGCATTCTTGCATTGAGCCCTTTGAAGTGCTGGTATTACACTTTGCACCTTTTTATACACGAGTACAAGATTCTTCGACGTGTAGATTAGCAGAGCAAGCCCATGAGCTGCCCAGTCTCTCCATCTTTCACTTACTCTCGTATTTCTCGTATGTGTATGACATTTTTAAGGCGCCTAGTCGCTCGATGGAATCCTCCAATTTGAATCTATATCTTCCCAGAAAAGGCCATAGAATGATAGCGACCAAAAATTCCGATATGGAAATTGACTTTGTGTTTTATGTGGCTTTTCTATGTTTCGAAGGTTCCGGCTGTTATCTAGCTGTTGTCAACTCAATACACCCATCATTCATTGTCTCGAAGATGAGGTGAGAACTAGAGTTGGAAATTCGCTCAACTGACAGTGCGAATCATACCTAATTGGACGTGCTTTTAGCGACAGCAAAACTCAAAATGATCAGACAATAATCATCTTGAACCCCTGATGATCACTTTTCCAGGTCTTGGCCAGCATGAGGCTATCAAATGCCATTTTCCGTGCTAGCATCTACATTTGTCGAGACACCTATCTCAGAAATGACTACGGGGAACTTCTTGGATTGTTTTGGAGCCCATAACTTTGATTGACGCAAATACACGGAATATTTCTTCCTTTTTAAGGAGGGCTAGAAAGAAAATTGCTACAACCCTCTGCGAGGAAACTTCATATGCTGATTCTACGAATAGAGAGTAGCTTCAAGGGTAGGCAATGTGGAAGTATAGTGAATGGCATCTTGCTCAATGATTTTGCTTTGGTTTGAGGGGTTGCACATGTATTCCGGTGGTAAATGTGCTCCAGAAGATATTTTGTGCTTATATTGACCCGCAAAATAAGAGAATGTATGATCTAATCCAGATCCGGGTTGCAAGAGGAGAACGAGAACATGTCAATCTTGGAGTTCTATCACTAGGATGGGATTTACTCGTTTCTCTGTCTCAAAGGCGTATCTACCTAGTTCTTTCCCATCTTTTAGTATCATCGAAACTGTTGGGCATGACCATGTCTGAATTTTCAGTCAGGTCCGAATTGACAAAGATGTGAATCGCCAACAAGACTTATATGGTGGATCAGGAATTTCTAAATCGTAATAGCAGTGAATATGAATTATTGCTGTTGTGGCACAAAAAGCTACAGTAGATTCCTGAAAACGTATGGCTAAAAAAAATCGGGCCAAAGGAAGGGGATATGATGATCATTTCAGTCATTTGGTTACTTAGTTTTCTTTTGCAATTAAGAAGGAAGAACGATTTGGAGGATATGTAAGTCATGCAAAATTGAAATCAACAGCATTAAACAAGCTCAAGGGGACTCACAAGACCTGCCGAGAAAGATAGCCGCGCCTCCTTACCTTTTGATGCCAATAATCAATCAAATACTGAGTGAGAAATTGGAGCTGAAGGATGGCGAAGCTTCACTTCTCCCCACGTTGACCTTCAAGTCTCTCACCACTCGATGTTGGGTGTTTCAAGTATGTACGAGGCGCTGGGAAATGGGAAATGGCTTTTGTATCCCACCATCATCATATATTGCAGTTAGGCCCTCAATCATATAAATTGCCTGCATGTTTGTGGCGCTTAACGTGATTGTGCCGCGGGTGGGTGATGAGCATGTGGATGAGCGTGTGTACTGGGTTGTTATATCTTTAGTAGATCGAGCGATCTATGAACACACTGGATGACCAAATCTTACCTCATTCATAAGTACCTCCCAAAACCACGTAAAGAATGTTGTGGTGATACAGGAATAAGAAGAACATTGGCGTGGGCGGTTTCGTTTCTCGTTTAAAGTCACGTACAACAAAGTGCAGGACCCATAGATGTGTAGAAAATGAGATACAGGATTGGAGGGTTGGACATAATCAGCTGGACTGACAAATGTTGTCCGATTTGACCTGCAAATTAAGAAATTCTTCAAGATGGAAAACTGTTCTAGGTACCTAGGTACAGTAAGTAGTCTCTACGTAAGCGAAAAAACAGCGGAAATTGACTACCCTTTCAAAGGATTTTTTTAATAGATTGTAAATTCATTTCAAATTAAATATTGACATTCAAAAGAAGTAAACGAAAATTTGAGTCTTCTTTATATCGATAGTAAGTGATTTTATTATTTGATATGATATCGAAAATAGATCTTAATTGTTAAAGGTCTTTCGAAAGGTGGTCAATTTCCGCCTGTTTTTTTTGCTTACGTAAATGTGGTCCTAGTATTTCAGGTCATGTGATGGCAAGATTGCGCCACAATGTGGCTGGTCCTCGAATCGATATTAGTCCGAGGTCAACTGGATGGTCTGCTTTCAAATACAATTCTTGTTTCATCCTGCACAATTTCGCTACCATGAGGAAAGACAGGTGGAATCAGCACAGTCTATATCTACGAAAGTAACTGGGAAACATGCGAGTCATGACCCCGAGATACAAAGTCCGGTAATGACAATGACGATCAAGACTTTCAATACTTCGTAGTTTCGGGTTTTCAACGCTCAGATCAATCGTCAAAATATTGACTGACATCGTCCGAAGAATACTTGCAAGTGGAGTCGATATGGAGCCGATATAGTAAAATTCCACTGGTACAATCATAGACTGCATCTGGACTTTGCGGAATGTTTTCCGTCTCGGCGCTGGTGCCTCTCGTGGTTGGACTTTCGACACTTATGGCTCAAGAACGACCTATGGATTTCATCCCTTCTTTGTACCTCCTTGTTGTGCTTCATTGACGATACTCTAGATCTCTTTTGAAAAGGGCAAGGTCTTCAAATCTCTCTCCCTGTTCGATAAGTCAGAGCAGAAGGAGATGTTTTGTACAGGAAACAATAGTGGATAAAGAATTTTCCGATTATCCGAAGCCTTGCACACTCAATCTTATCAATTGGACAGTTCCTGGCAGAAGTTAATTTTATATACCGAGTACTCCATACGCATTTCAGCTTCTTATCCACCAGATCCTGCTGAAAGTTCAGATGGAACGTTGGAAACGCTTCTATTAGTATGGGAGGTCTTATCACATTATTCGCGTGTGGTCAACAAATGATAAAAAATGGTTTACCGCACCCAATAATAACATTATTGATCCATCAAATCCTCATGAAAGCAAATTCCTTTTTCTTCTTTCCCTTTAATTTCCAAGATAGGCCCGAATCATGTGAAAAACTGGGCTAGATGCTTAATATGGTTAAAATATCACAAAGAGAGTCCACAGCCACTGTGCATGAATTCGATGATGAAAAGTGTGGCTTGGTTGATCTTGGTTGACTGAATTACTGTATTGCTGTGTTCTTGATTTTTTTCGATTTTTTCCGTCATGAAACCATCACATCTACCAGGCTTTTACGTGCAGGAACTTCATCCCAGCACGATTTTGCCGTTTCTAGAACATACTCGGATGAACGTTTAAAGTATAGGCCAAATATGGGAATCCGAGTGGATCAATATCCCCCAGAACTCCCTGAACCGGCAAGATCCTGAAACGTCAAAATAGGCGAAAGAAAGCTTTTGAAACGTGCGAACAGGGGCTTTCCATAGCGAAGTGTCTAGATGACGACTATCCAATTTACCAATTTACCCCTCAATATAAATTCATCTAATGACAGCCTCATGGCGTACCTTCCCCTCTATTGATCGATCCACTTTTGAATGAAGTAGATACATGATATAAAACGAAACAAATGAGAGAGAAGGGATTAGGAACCTCAATCAAGCATATATCAAACTTTACCGGGACAGTGGACACAGTCGAGGCTCGAATAGATGAATTCGAAGACTGAAGCTTTTTGGGCCATTGACAGTGGGTTAATGACAATGGATTCAACAAGGATAGGAGTATTTCAAACTTTTGAAAGTACAAAAAGGTTTGCATCTGCGCAAGATTTGACTTTTCTCTCTGTATCGCAAGAATCGTTTCTTTCTCTTCCGTTCCTTCTCTCATTCCTTCCTTTGAGTTGTTGCCTTGACGGTATACATTCTTTTTCAATTCATTCTTTTCTTAAACTCTCATTGACAGGTCTGGTGACCATTTTCCGAAATCAACAACTTCATATACACATTCATTCAAATTAAACAATCGCAAGAAACACATCTCGAAATTTCAAAATGCGTACTTCTCTACTCACTCTTGGCTTTGCTGCCAGAGCTCTTGCTCAAACAGCTGTCTCTTATGTGGATGCCAACACTGGGATCACATTCGAGGGTGCAACAGACACAACAGGATTCCGATTCGGTATGGTCATGGAGGCCAATGCCACATCTGACTTCATCGGACAAATTGTAAGAACCTGTTCATTACATGGTGACTGTATAATATGCTAACATTGATTAGGTCATCCCAAGTACAGCTGGTTCAGGATATGGAGGTGTTTCATTAACTGGTAGTATGGTTGGCAGCATGTTGATTGTTGCTTGGCCCAGTGGAACTGATGTCATTGCATCGTTGCGCGAGACCAGTGGATACACTTCTCCAGGTGCCTACGCAAATGCCACGGCACAATTGTTGCCAATTGCAAAGGGTACCTTTGTCAACTCAACCCACATGTCATATACTTTCCTTTGCCAAGCTTGTATTGGAAACACTTATACTTTGGCGGCTGGTGCTACTCAGGTCGTTGTTGGATGGGCTTATGGTAACGGCACAGTCACAAATGCTGCCTCTGCTACCGATGCGACTTTCAGTTATCACGGTACTGGGTATGGTGACTTCGGCATTCAAACTGCCAGTGCTGCGAACGATAACTACGCCACATGGGCTGCTATGGCCAGCGCTGCCACTGCCAGCAACACAACTGCATCTACCACTACTACCACTTGCTCAAACACTACCGTATCAACTTCTAACTCAACTTACGATTACATCATCGCAGGTGCAGGTCCAGCTGGTATCATCGTTGCAGAGCGTCTTGCCGAGAGTGGTGCATCTGTCTTGATGTTAGAAAGAGGAAACGTTTCCACCTATGCTACTGGTGGTAGATCCACTGTTTCATGGAACGACACCGTCACCCAATATGATGTTCCTTCCATGGCATACTATCTCACATCCGCTTCTGTCTCCGATGAATACTGTACAGACACTGCTTCAATGGCTGGATGTATTCTTGGAGGTGGTACTATGGTCAATGCCTTGATGTTCGTCCGTCCACAAGAAGCTGATTTCGATGACAAATGGCCAACTGGATGGAAATGGACCGATGTCAGTGCATCCGCCGACAGACTCTATGAGCGTAACCCCGGTACTACCAACCCTACCTCAAACTCGCAAAGATACGATCAAAGCGTATGGAACGTTCTCTCTTCATTCTTGGGTAACCTTGGTTGGTCCGAAGTTGATGCTATCGAATCACCAAACTCAAAGACTCTAGCTTACTCTCATCCACCATGGGATATCCAAGATGGTCTCCGTGCTGGTCCAGTCAAGTCTTACTACCCGCTCGCTACTGCCATGAGCAACTTCAAAGCTCAATTCAATACTAAGGTCGTAAGAGGTATCCGAAGCACCACCAACGGTACCACATTCTCTGGTGTTGAAGTTGAAAACTCCAACACTGGTGTACGTCAAATCATCAACCTCAATGCAGGTGGTAAACTTATTCTCGCTGCTGGAGCCATGTCTACTCCTCGTATCTTGATGAACAGTGGAATTGGTCCAACCGATCAAATCACCACTGTGAAGAACGGAAGCAGCTGTGTTACTCTCCCAGCTGAATCTGACTGGATTAACCTTCCAGTTGGAAAGAACCTCAAGGACCACCCAATCTTCACCCTCACTTTCAACGTTACCGGTGCAATGGCTAGCAACTCCACCTCGTTGGCGTCAACTGATTTCACCTCTCCAAGTACTGCTAACATCGATCTCTTCGCCCAACAAACCGGACCACTTGTGCAATCTGGTCAAAGATTGAACTTCTGGACTTCCGTTAACACCACCAGCGGAACCAAGTACATCCAAGGAACCTGTAACTCCCCCGCTAGTGGTCAAATCCGCATCAAGCTCTACCTTACCCATGGTTTGACATCCACTGGTGTTCTTGGTATTACCAGTTCCGGTGCCACAGAATTCACTACTAACCCATGGATGAACACCGCCGACGATAAATCTGCCATCGAAACCATTATTGACTACTTTCTCAATGCCGCCAAGAACAGCACCATGCTTACACCATCTGATAGTACCATAACCGGTGCTTCTTTGGTCTCCGCTGGTACTTACGTTACCGGTGATCATTTCACCGGTACTGCTATTATGGGTGAGACCAACGATGGAACTTCAGTTGTCGATACCAACACCCAAGTCTGGGGAACCGATAATTTGTTCGTCGTGGATGCATCTATGCACCCTGATATGCCAACTGGTAATACTCAAGCTATCATCATGGTTGCTGCTGAGCAAGCCGCGCAGAAGATCTTGGCATTAGCTGGAAAGACTATCTCCTCTACTGCGTCCACCACCACTTCATCTTCAGCTTCTTCGGGAAGCAGTGTTGCTTCAGCTCCAGCAGTCTCAAGCGCCGCTGCATCCGCATCGGCTGTTTCTGGAGCTACTACATCTGCTTCCTCGGCAGCTGCTAGCTCTGCATCTGGTGATGATGACGATGATACCTGCCCATTCGGCTATGAGCTTGACGAATAGAGTATTGTAAATATTCCAGCGTTTCAATTGAACGAATAGAGGAGGAAGGAGGAGAAACTGTTTCTTTGTATATATATCCACATAGTTCTTGATAGCGTTATTGCAATTCATGTATAAATTTTACATTTTATATGTTCACCCACACCTGCTTGAAACACTTTGAAAGCTTTACGCGGTTTTTTTTTTATACTAAAGTTAGTGAAACGATTTTCCGAATCTGATTCAAACTCTTTGTTTGCTATTAGCGTTTATACAAAAGACGAAAATAAGATTCAAATTTCGTTATTGCTTTATAACTTCTCAAACTCTGTCGCTCCTTCATAAGGCTGAAGATAATTGTCTTCTAGCCACCCGTGTTCACCCTCCACAACTCCAAAGTTAAACGCAACGCGACTCTTACTACTTCGATTCGCCTCGCTCTTATGCATCAAATTACCATGCATCAATATCAAGGTCCCTGCTTTCACCTCCAACTTCTTATATTCAAACTCCCCCTTCTCATTCTTCTTTGGTAGAGTCGAATCATCTACCCCCTCAATGTCCGCATAAACCGGCTTTTCCAAATCAGTAAACACCGGCTGTCCATTTCCATTAGTGATACAACGCCTTGTAATTGGTTCTACACGATGACTACCCGGCGCGACAGCCAAACACCCATTCTCCGTCGAGCAATCTTCAAGCGCATACCAGAAAGTCGTGCAACTCGATGGGTTTGTGAATCCCGAACAGCCATCTTGATGAGGAATCACGCGCGCGCCAACCTCGGCGGCTTTCACGATAATCAAACTTTGGTATATGCAAGGGTCTTTGTAGCCGAGGGATCTGGCGAGTGTGGAGTGGAAGGGACTGAGGATGGCTTTTCGGAATGGGGGCATAACGCGGTGGATTCCGCAGCCGATACGTTGGATACGTTTTAGGGGTTCGACGTCGGGGTTGAAGCCATCTTGATGGAGAATTCATGATTAGTATTATGTGGTAATGACTAGGGCATGTGTAACTTACGTTCACTCAATGTAGCGAGTGCTCGGCCCACAGGACTCACGTAGGATTTTTGTCCCGCGAAATAGGCATGTTTTTGTACTCTCTCGCCACCGCCAGCAAGTACTTGCGCTGCTTCATGTACGGTCTTAAGCAAGTGATCTTTTTGGCCCTCTGGTAGTGTATCTGGAATGACGAGATATCCATTTTCTCTCCAAAACTGCAGTTGCTCGTCGCTCAAATTACCATTCTTGGCCTCGTTAAGAGCAACGTGGGGCGTGGATTGCAAATTGGCAGCGGTGACTTGCGCTCTGTCAAGTGTTCCATTTGCAAAACTCCCTTTGGTACCATTCGAAGTGATGGCTACTGGAATTGAACGTCCTTGAAGCATCGCCAGTATCTGGGCTTTTTGAGCTTGAGAGTTGACCTTTAACATGACGGGAATACTATTGGCCTCGTCATTTCCAGGCGAGTGTAACTCTAGCAGTTGAGTCTTCATCTCCATAACATCGGGGATAGCTTCTGTGATAGTATCTTTAGAGGGGTGTAACTCTAACAACTGGGATTTCATCTCCATAACATCGGGAATAGCTTCCGCGATAGTATCTTTAGAGGGGTGCAGCTCTAATAAGTGGGGTTTCGACTCCAAAACGTTGGAGATAGCTTCGGTGATAGTATCACTGGGGTCCAAGGTATCGGCAATCGCTTTATTCATAGCTTCTGTGGCCTTGTTGCCGTTGTTCTGGTTCTCATTTGCAAGAAGCATCGTTAAAAGGAGGGGACCATCACCACCCTCGCTGACGAATTGACCAGTGTTGTTTGATGCAGATAAGAGTGAACCGTCTTCACCACTGGTCTCGATGGATGCATCATTGATATCTGTATTGTTGCCCACAGGAGGTCTTAGCTCAAGAGCAACACCTCTAGGATCCAAAGTATCGGAAATTGCGCTGTTCTCTTTTGGATCGGGAATCTGGTTAGGGTTGTTATTGTTGTTTTGATTATTTAACAACAGTGCGAATAGAAGTGGTCCATCCTCGCCACTAGTTTCAACAGATATATCATTGATATCTGCATCATTGCTCACTGGAAACTTTAACTCAAGAGCAACACTTCTAGGATCCAAAGTATCGGAAATTTCGTTGTTCTCTTTTTGGTTGGGATTCTGGTTAGGGTGGACGTTATTGTTGTTTTGATTATTTAACATCAGTGCGAATAGAAGTGGTCCATCCTGGCCGTCGACAGTGGATAAATCGTTATCAATGTCTCCTTCATCGTCATTTACAGTAGAGCTCAACTCGAGAGCATAGTAGTCGGGATTCAAGGTGTCAGAAACGGGATTCCCTGAAGCGGCTTGAGCCGTGGCATTGTTGTTGTTGTTTCCCATCAGCAATGTTAAGAGAAGTGGTCCATCTACGCCCTCCTCCTTTGTGAAGGGTTGACTCGTGGCAATCGCTTCTTTCTCGGCGCTTTGAGCGGTAAACTCATCGACAGGAGTATCTATCTTCAGAACTGTCATGACGGATTGTTAGCGTGGAAAGAGAATCGAAATAGACGTGTTCGTATTTCACTCGATTTTTCAAAGTTGTGAGGGGGGTGAATTTACATACTGCGTTTCAACCCCTCTCCTCTTATTTGCCCCGCAGTAGCACTGTCGAAAATCGCAAGGGTCATAAACTTTGCCCCACGTCAATCACAGATTTCACTCAGATCGATTTAAGCATGAATCTTGGAACAATCGCTTGGCCAGCCGATCGGATGCGTCGCCTAACACGACCATCTTCCAGTGTCCAATTACGATCACATATCAGATGTTATCATTGCAGATTATAATTGCCTCAACCCCACCAAAATTGTTGTTCAGCTGGATTATCAATCGCAAGGATTAAACGGAGTTGTACTGCATTTGAAAACTCTGAATCTGATTTGCGTTATCACCTACGCTTGGCTATGCTCGTCTGATCGCCATCGTCAACTTTCCAATCAACTGTAATCAGAATGAACGAAGAATTGAAGGAAACAAGAAAAGCGGGGTATAAAGGTGGGATACGGATGAAAAGCCTCAGTTCCGAAAGATACTCAATGGGTAGGGATAGAGGTGGGATGGTCATGGAATTAACACCCCCCTCTTTCGCAATCAGCAATCGAGTCAGCCCCAGGAGCTCAGCATTAATACCCCTTCTTCGCAAATCTCAATTAATCAAAATCAACTTGAAAAATCGTGAGCCCATCCATATTGCATCTAATTTTGAATCGGTCCAGCCACTTTCGTACATTTTACTCTTTTTCTCACTCCTTCGGTAACAGATTCAAGACTTCTTGAATATTCTCACGATAGTAACTCTCAACTCGAACGAAGTCTAAAATGCCGCCTCATAACAAAAAACCCCTTCATGTACAGCACAAGAAGCATGGCGACCATGACCATATCATGAAACGCATGGATGCATACATCAAGGCATACAAGAAAGGAGACACCGAAGCCATCATGAAATACTACCATCCGACCAACTTTGTCTACTCAGATTTCAGTATGTTCTCTCATGCCCTAACTCTCGAATGTCACTAAAGATACTTCTCCCCTTAGGTACACCCAATAATCAACTCATGGGTCTTTCGGAAGTCGAGTCGCACTATTCAAAAACCTTTTCCGACTTCTACGATCTCACAATAACCACTGCCTCGGTACATGGACACAAAGATTTCACAGCCTGGGAGTGGGAAATTACATGCAGACCAGCCATATCTCCAGAGACAGGCGAGCGACTGCCGAAAGAAAAAACAGAGTTGAAAAAATTGGTAGGTTGTACGTTGATGTGGTGGGAAGATGATTTGATTATTAGAAATCATGACTATGTGCAGTTGAAGGACATTTAGGCGGAGATTGATAAGGGGCGGACTGAAGTGTCCGTGAAGACGAGTTGGCATGCGCGTAGCGGCAAATATCATGTATGTAGTCAAGTTTTGTCTCAGTATTTGACGCGATCGCCAGGGAGAAATGCCGAATGCGGGAATGATGTTGTTACCTTGGGATTGGCTTTGTGAAATTTTACGGTACTCGGATGTACACGCGGGCGGCTGTTATGATTTATGCAATGAACATATTAAATAATGAAACATCTGATCAACACTTGTTACACGAAAACTGTTCGAAATGACTACCTGTCTATCCTACAGACCCCCCCCTTTATCACATGCTAAGGTTCTATGAACCGTAAACTAAACTCTTTGAGGAATAAGAGTATATAAGAATTCTCGGGACTATATTCAAGTTTTCGATAAGCATATTTATCAAACACATAGCGCACCTGTGTGTAATATTCTTGGAGAATTGAAGGCTTGAAGAAGAAGAGCAAGCACAAAAACTCTCTGAAATAGCTTCGAGTTTACTAATGATATCCCTTTTCACAATTACTTGAAGTATCGACGGACTTGGAAAGCAACTTCTTCGGAAAACATGCTCCCTTTGGAACCATACTGTACACTCAAAGTGGTTCTGAATTGCCATCAAAAATCAATTTAAATCACTGCCCTCGCCGCGTATCAATATAATGCTCCTCTGCTCATCTCAAATCCAGTTCCTGTCCATGAGTTTCATTTCTTCGATTCTCCATTGTAAGATCTTCTTTTACTCTAAGTATTCTACCCTTAACCTTTAGCCTCCCATCGAATCATCCCATCCCATCCCCATCCCCAAAAACTTCAAAAGCGCCACGTTCATCCCAGTAACCACAAACCAAAGCAGCCAGCTCATTCCCATAACCACCCACTCATTTGCCGAACAAATGGCATCCTCTCTCCCACACATACGGTATCCTTTTTCCCATTTCCATATCCATCCCCATCCCCAACTCTCATAAACCTCTCACAACTCATATACCAAATCAACAGCGCCGCAACAAAAACCAACTCAACACTCACCACAACATTACAAAACAACCCATCAACGCCTCCTTCAACCCCCCTTATCCCATCACCACAACAGCCACCATACATCTCGTGAGCAATCTATCCAAAACGTCGTATAGAGCCATCTGGTCTGTAGAGCAACACGACAAATAGAGCCTCAAAGACAGATATCACACATCCAGCTATCTATCAGAGTAATCTCAGAGATGAGTAAATTAAGTACAGTAGCCATACCAATCCCAGATATCTATGCTCAAAAAGCAGAAGAGATCTAACACTAATCCAACAACCTCATATAACTACACACTCCACAAGAATCCACAATGCGATATTGACCCAAAGATAGAAATGAGCTCTATGTATCTGCGCTAAGTCCATACCAGTTACATCCCGAATTTGTCGAGAGTTTCTTTTCGCGTTAGTAAATATCTATCTCTAATATTCTATCTGCTAGGAAAAACTCACCTGTAAGAATACAGCTGCGGGATTAGAAAATACCACTGCACAGAGTGATTTATACTCAAATAATGCTCTGGCTGTTAAATCTGACTGGTAGTTATTAGGATTAATATATGCTACACTGATGGTAGCACCAAGATAGATGAACTTGGTAGATTTTCATAATGATATTGCTACTTGTTGCACATCCATATGTTAGACGAAGAGAGTTTCGCGACGAATCTAGAATTGAGGAAGAATCTTGAGGTTCACTGTCAACCACTACATTGCACTAAACTTCATCTGATTCGAATACTTCGACTCGAGACTGTTGTTTGTAGTTTCGGCTAAAGAAAAATGGGTTCCAGGTTGATCTATATTTGACCATTTGAGGACTTCTCAGGAGAAGTGATTTTCCATATATCCTCTGGAAATACGAGAGTCATATTTCAAGTTTGTACAATCCCATATGAAAATGTAAAGTCTCTCCAGAGACTTCATCAAGCGCAGTCATGTTTTATTATCTGATCTGATCCCTGGATATCACTGGATTCACATTACCAAAGTAATACATGGTAAGACGACATTACCGAGCGTGTTAGCTTCAGCTCATACCCTACCGACCTGAGCCTCTCTCCTTTTCTATGCCACCTCGTCGAAGATGTGAACATGTATTGGTCATTCATCACTAGATAAACACTACACGGTGCAACTTTCAGCATCCAACTTTCTTCCTTGCGACATAACAAATGTAAAAATAACACTGTCCCGTTTCTTCACGTAGAAGCAAAGCCTCCTGAGTACCCACACTGCAATCTAACGCCAACGATCTATCCTCTATCAACAAAATAGTAATAGGGCTTGAACCACCCCATCTCTATTCCATACCTACCGAAAGCCATAGATTCAGAACATCAGATTGAAGATCCCATTTCCACCATCAGCAATCCACCATCAGCAATCCAGCGATCAAAACCTTCAAATACAAGCCCGCCAATGACCAGCCCATCTATCTACCTCCTGCGAATACAAACCCGCAAAGTATCAATTACACTAGATCCTCAGACAAGCCAGTTCGAAAACGAAAACCCCTATACTATTTTTCGAGCGTCGAAATCACCCGCGAGAAACATATTCCCGCGTATGACGTGGAGAGAAAGATATTTGAAATACTTGTATCTGCTATGATGGAAAATTTCTCCTTATTTTTCTTTCTGGATCGGAACGCGACGAGTTTTTCAGGAAGTGTCATGACAGTGGGAAGAATGAATGTTTCAAAAACTATAGTAGAGAGAAGAAGCGAATTTGCTAATAATGTAATATGATGAGATTGAATATATGCTGGCAAGAAAGCGCGAGCAGATTAAGTACGGAGGATATGATATAATAGTAAAAAATTAAATGAAGCAAGCATCCTGCGTTAAAACTTAAAAGTAGCTAGGAGTCTTGGAACCAATTTCTTCGTTATATATCTACTTCCGCAGACTTTCGGGGTGACTGGGTGGGAGATTTGCATAGTCATTGAACGTTTGTGATATAGATATAGCTCGTAATCTAGTGTCACCTGCACGCATGGGAAATATAACTTTATAAATGCGCTTTCGATAAAGTAAGGTCACCTCTCATATAAAGAAGTATCATTGCAATTTTCTGAATCATCTTCTGGCGTGGAGATAATGCTCCTATCTATTGCTTATGTTAGGTACAGAGATGATACATCCCAAAATTAGCGATAAGTACCTAGTATCACTCTCACTCACTATTCTCTTCCGTGATTCAAGACAAGGAGAAATATCGAGAAAACAGGAGTACTAATATAATGCCATGAATGGTAGTATAAATCCATGAGCTCTCATCAACCGTGACGCTTATCAAACGTGAAAGAAAGAAGCTGGAGAAATTCAGACCCAGAAAAAAAGCATCTAGGATATCCGAGATAGATGAGATGATCTGACGATACTGCCATTTGCAAGTGAAGATTGATGTTGAGAGATGGCTGCGATAGCTACGATGAGCTATTCTTGTCAGTTTTCTAATACTACCTACTATCGACATGAATATTTTGACTTACTTTTTCCCATTCCATACCAGACGTGAGCAACGCAATGGTAATCAACGAGGGTGATACAGTCAATCGAGCTGATATGATAGCAGCATTGTCAATGGATTCGTCGGGGCCAAATTCGAGGATAAAGAGGCCACTGATGAATGCTGCAATGTTGAAAGTAATATCATGCAATTCTGTCATATTTATAGATGTTCAGATATGAGTTGTATCTTTGAAGAAGCAAGTGTGAAGTTAGGAAATCCGGGAGAGAGGATGACATTCACCTGTGAATATTTCTCGAGAGGATATATAACAGACGAGAATTATGATGTGTGAATCTGGTTCGAGGATAGATCCACGTTCGTATTTAGAGCTATCACTTGAAAAGAGAGAAGAATAGTTTGAGACTCAAGAAAACTTTGAAGTAAAATAGGTATAGTCAGATCTTGTGGAACAACGTACCACATACAGGGAGTCATACAAGTCCCATAAGGGGTGAGAGGCATATCAATGTAGTATTCTATGTTATGCGGTAAAATATGTATGACCTCACTTACCCGGATATTGAGATGGGCAAATAAATAAACTCCGATTCTCTCAATACCCTGCGCCACCAAAGAACAAAATGAACCTCTATCATCAACTTCATAAAAAGAGGGATTGTATTCATACAGCCAAGGAAGCTCCATCATGATAGAAACCATTGCAATAATGTTAAGTGCCCAATGCTTAAATCCAAACTTCCTTTGCGTGAAATCCTAATTTGGAGACGAAAGCTTATCGAAACCTGACCTTGCTAGCCAACTTCCCCTCTAAAGATCATCTCCCACAAAACGTTTCCTCACCTCAAACGCCCGCTTTAGCAGCAGGAATATCCAAACTCCAATCAATAACTGCATCTTCCCCATGGTGCTCAGTTAACCACTCATTCGTCTTCTTAAAATGCCCACAATCAAACCATCCCCTACTCGCACTCAAGGGACTAGGATGCACACTCATCAAAACACAATGTTTCTTTCTATCCACTTTCGCAACTCTTTTTCCTGCAGGACTTCCCCACGCCAAGAATACCACTCCTTTATTTCTCTTCAGAGCAACTGTATCGATAACTTTTTGAGTAAATCTTTCCCAGCCGTGGTTTGCATGGGAATTGGCTTGGTGAGCTCGGACTGTAAGACATGTGTTGATGAGAAGGACGCCGCGATCTGCCCAGGGAGTAAGGAGACCACCATTATTTGGAGGAGGTTTGAAGTCTGGATAATCTTTTGCGAGAGCCTTAAAAATGTTCTTGAGTGAAGGTGGAGCCGGTGTAGGAGCGCGGACGGAGAAACAGAGACCATGAGCTTGATTAAAGTTGTGGTATGGATCTTGGCCAATTATTACTGCTTTAACGGTGTTAAAAGGTGTATGCCTTGACCTATTCATTGTTTTGATTAGCTGTTTGTTACTTGAGTGCCATTGAACGATTGAATGAAGGCAAGAATGTAAATACCAAGAGTATACATCCTCCATCGGTGGAAATATCTTATCCTTTCCCTCCAATTCCTTCTTCAGAAACTTCTTTAATTCCAGAAACTCTTTCCCTACAATCTCATCTTTTAATACCGCCAACCAGCTCTCATGTAGAGTTTCAACCTCCAATTTCAACAAATCTTTCTGTTCTTCTGTCAATGTAGCTATCCATTTTTCCTTGTTGAATTTGAATGCTGCTGGCGCTGGTGCAGTAGAATCTGTAGAGTTACCAGTTCCTTTGGTACTTGAGGAGACAGTTTTTGGTGGTCCGAAGAACGAAGTAATTGATCCGTTTGCTTTAGGTTTTTTGGCGTCGTTGGTAGGATTTGTGGTTGCTTTGCGTTTGAGAGACATGATGGGAATTGGAGAAAAAGGTCGATGGCGAAAAAGGAGTAGTGTAGACACTCTGATAGAGGTATTAAGTAAATAAAGGTTCGTTTGAATGGAATATATGAAGGACAAAGTCAGCTCTATAGAATCTGGAATATTGAGAAAGTTTGAATTTCCCAAATCTATGATGCAAGTTTCGCGTCAGAGCACCTTGAGACGCGTAAAGTTGCTTTACTGGGGTACGCGGTATCAGCGCTCTCAGAGCCAAACGAAAGTCTGGGGTAAATACGGGTCGGGGTCGGGGTCGGGTCGTAGTCTTCACTCATTATTCTCTCAATCATTCTTCTCTCAATCATTCTTCTCTCAATCATTCTTCTCTCAATCATTCTTCTCTCAATCATTCTTTCACTCAAATCATGAATTGATATTGCTTCTTGCTCTTCGGTTTTCAAACTGTGGGTATATTAATCTCGCTCAAGTTATCTTAGTTTCTAGGATCTCTAATACTATACAAAATTCCGGATACCTGCTCAAAATCGCTATGCTTCTAAACGCTTGGTATTACAATTCCGTGTTCCTTTTATGCGCCAAACCAACCTTCCATCCGTCCAGAAGAGGGGAGAATTCATGTCATCACTCGGTTCCTCGCTTTAATTCCGCTTTCTCATTCACACTCCTGAATGCTCTCTTCCCTACTTCATAACAACTGATCATAATTGCACATGCTGGAGCAACCTTGAGAGTCCTGGCGACCCATCCTTTCCATAAACCTCCGAGTCCTTCTTCTTTGAAGATGTGCATAAGAAACCTTGGCATGGATTGTTCTTCAGGTGCTAAAATCTTTTCAACTCCAGCAGGTGTTTTCCCTGGTTCCTGGAAGATTTGTTGACGTGTCTTTCCAACATCGAAAGGCATAGTCAAAATAGAAGCAACTGCTCCAGATGACGCCCCAGCAATAAAACTATCCAGGAATGTCGCCGAGTGATTCTCTCGACTTTGTGATCTGGTACGTATTTGACCCCTAGAAGTATTCCGATCATATGTTCTCCCACGACCCCGCTCTCGTGCATCTGTCAAAGCCCCTCTTATGGATTCATAACCCCACCAGTAAATTCCAGAAAATGGAACATCCCTCCAAAGTGTTAAAGTTAATCCTCGCCACAAAGATGTATAGCCGTGAAGTGAAACCATTTCGCCGACACTCTTCACAGTTTCAGAGAAATGTGTTCCTCCAGTGGCTTGACTAGCTTGCATTCTCGTTCTAAACATTTCGATCGGGCTGACAACTGCAGCGGCTATAGTCCTGGCGGATGCGCCAGCAGCAAGAGGGGCATAATTGTCATTGAACATTCGATTTATAGGACTTTGGTTGTTGAATCGTAACCAGTCATATCCCGTAAAGTATATTATGTTTGAAGGAACTGTCATGAGCAAAGTAGGTGACAATCCTCGCCATAAAGTTGTAACCCCTTCATTCCGCGCAATCTTTCTCATCCCGTCGAAAGTTGAATTGAAGGTTTTTTTTTGTGTTTCTTCAACGGCACATCCAACACCCTCCATTGCGCTTATTCTAGGCGCAGCCATGCAACCATCGCTCGTTGTGCCGCTGGTGAAGAAAACTTCTCGACAACATGCTGTTATTCCTAGATTTGGTGGTAATGTACCGAAAGTTTGAGGGGAGGCCAGAGTAGCTTTTCGAATAGCTGTCAGAGGAGATTGGGAAGGTTGTGACTGTAGACGGACTCTAACGACATCCAAAGGAGTAACTACAGTAGAAGTGTTAGTTGAAACTTGTTATAGATTTCAAATGCTGGGTGGCGTGCGTACCTAATAATGACGTTAATAGACTTCCAGACATTGCCGAGATCATCTTTTGAGATGCCGTGATCTCAATATCGACATCATCGTTATCGCCAGTCATGGCTACAGTTCCTGATTCTCCAGGTATTGGATCATCTCCGTGTATTCTGTCATGTCCTAAATGTTCGGATTCAAAAGTTGTTGGGATTCGGTCCCCCACAGATGAAGGGCGACTATCCCAAAGGCCGGACATAAAAGATTTTGTTTGAGTGGAATGACGTCGAATTGACGAGTAATCTTGAGCAATTGCGACGTGAGAGTTTTCTAAGAGGATTGAAGAAGAAAATCGATTATTCACGTTAACGTTGTTGAATCATGTATGGTTGTTGTATTTGTATAACTTCAAATAATGGCTTAAATTCGACTGATCATCATGATGTAAATGGAATACCTAATGAGTCGTTCATTTTTCACTTTAATATAATTAAGTAAGTAACTGGTAGAACGGTGGAATTGAATAGACCGAAAACTTAATTCCTCCCGCCTTCGATCTGAGAGTTCTCCACTGATCAAAGAAAAAATTGGGAGCGATAACGGATCTTGCGGCGATAAGAGGTGTGGGTGGTAATTATGTCAGCGGCGATAGATGGCGTCGCGTCAGACCGAGGAATTATTCATAGGTAACTACTACGTATTTACTTGAATCTCATACTAATATATGGTGAATAGCAAGATCTTTCCCTAGTATCTACCTATCTATCTCTCTCACTCTCTCCAATATATCATACACCGATCATTCTAAATTGTACAATATGGAAGACTCGAATCCCGAATTGGAAACATTCCGCAAACAATGGCAGGAAGAAGTGACTAGACGGTCAAATGTTGCCCAGGCACATCCTCCAACCCAAGCGGCTGGGCCATCTAACGTACCACAAAGAGCTCCACGGACCAAACATGTTCACGAGAATACTAAAACTGGAGATGAGGATATCGTTGAGCCTCAAACAGTACACTTTGACGGACCAAGTGGCGCCGTTGGTGCAGGAGAAGAAGATGAATTCTATCCATACGGTAAGAAGAATGGCAATAGTGAGCCCCAATCAGCTTTGGAACACTACGAAAAAGCGGTAGAGAGGGAAGGTCAAGGTAGCTTAGGAGACAGTCTTGATCTCTACCGCAAAGCATTTCGAGTAAGTTTGGCTCCAAATATATTAAACCTACAAGACTCTTGCTGATTATCATAAGCTTGATGATCAAGTCGATCGAAAATATAAGAACAAACATTTCCCACCATCTGCCTTCCCACCGAAACCTACAAACACAAATCCATCCAATGCATCTGCCACAGTGCCCAATACCGCACACCACTCACCAGATGGGCCCCCACAGACTATTAAACAATTGATCGAAAGTTTTTCGGATTTATCAATTGAACCATCGCCACCAGAAATTGAAGGGACACCGGCTCCTCCATGTCCAATTGCAGATGTACCTGATGAAATCCTATTACAAATATTCAAAGAAGTAGCAATTAGGGATGTGGCTGACCTTGCACGAATCACACAAGTATGCAAACGCATGGCATATCTTGTAGCGACGGGAGAACAAATCTGGAAAAGGATATGTCTTGGCTCAGAATTCGGATTCGAAGCAATGCATTATCAATGGCAGACAGAAGTCACAGGAGAGCTTCTTGAAGTCGAGCCTCAATTACTTTTGCCCTCGGAAGACTCGGGTGAAGAGTCTGTTCCATCAATGCCTCTCAGTGACGATACCATCACCCATTCCCTACTCCAATCAACTTATTATTCATCCTGGAAACAAATGTTCCGCTTACGTCCCCGCATTCGTTTCAATGGCTGCTATATAAGCACCGTGAACTATATTCGACCTGGGCAAGCCTCCCCTTCAGCGGTAGCTTGGAATTCTCCAGTCCACATTGTTACCTATTACCGCTACCTTCGTTTCTATCGCGATGGCACATTAATCTCTCTTTTGACCACCACCGAACCTAGCGATGTCGTTCACCATTTGACAAAAGAACTTCTTGAATATCACAGGAGAAACCAATCTTCTCATCTCCCTTCTTCTGTCATGAGCGACGCTCGTCGTGGACGTTGGCGTCTATCCTCTATCAATGATCCTCCTTCGCTAGATGTAGATGCTGAACCCTCTTCTAAAGTTGGAGGATCAGAGGGTACGTTATATGTGGAAACAGAAGGAGTTCATGAAAAATACTTCTATAGAATGGAATTGAAGATGACTAGTGCAGGGAAAACAGTCAAAAATAACAAATTGGCTTGGAATGGATTCTGGAATTATAACCGCCTAACGGATGACTGGGGAGTGTTCACATTGAGGAACGATAAAGCTTTCTTTTGGAGTAGAGTAAAGAGTTATGGAATGGGCGCATGACGCATTGAAGATATTGAACGCAGTTTTCATGATTTTTAGAAGAGCGAGTTTGGATAATAGAAAGACAATGATTAGATGTTACGGTCAGCATCGGAATGAGTATCAACTCACAGCAAGATGCCGATATTACGATATGACATGATCTCGACGAGTAATGATTATGGCACTGGAATTGAACAGAATAGAACATCCATAGATGTACAGAGACAGAAAATAGAAGACGATATCAAGTAGGTGATTATATTCATACTCAATCTTGTCCTTTATAACGCATAGATTTATGCCAAGCAAGGCAAGCTTGCATATTCAGAAAGTAAGATTACAATGCGCATAGGTACATATTTAAGTATCGGATGTTGAACACCAATACCAATTAATGATCAATCCTCAAAACCTTACATAAACCAATTCTGTGACTTAACGGTTTAGCCCCATAGCCCATCTCATCTCCACAAGTGAAGATTCTCCATCAAATAACCCAAACCCAAACTCTAGAACAATGGATATCATGCCTCGAACGTGCATCGTGCTTACTCGTACTCTCACTCGCTTTATTTAATGATTTCTCCGAATCATCGCCGGATAAAGGAATCACGTGTCGCTATGACTACAAACTTCCCCAAAGACCCACTAAGGGTAGTGAGCATAAAAGTGGTCAAAAAGAGTCATCGGCTTTGAGAAAGGTTGAATGTATTTTAATGGCGAGCAGGTTGTCTACTAAGTCGACATTATTGTTGAATACTACATCTGTACACTCAATTCGATCCATTTGCTCCGCTCGCGAAGTCATCTCCCAAGCAAGGGTCTTCTCCCTTTCCTCCACCACAACCGAGCCTTTAAAAAATTTCAATCCTCCACAACATCGCCATCTGGCCTCACCAATCTCCAAACTCTCTCAACTCGGAACCCAACCTTCCGTTCGAAATTTCTCAAGCTCTCCACGTTCATCTTTCGCAAAGGCTTCCGCGAAGAAATCAGTCAAGATGGTTAAAGCAGATGAATACATCCTGACTCTTTCCTGTCCCGATCGTCCAGGTATCGTCCATGCAGTCACGGGATTCCTCTCCCAGCACAATCTCAACATTGTTGATTCGCAACAATATGGAGATCCGACTTCCCTCCGTTTCTTCATGAGAGTGCATTTTGGTCCTCCTGCATCATCCACCTCGGACGGCTCAGCCACGAAACTGAGTCTCGAGGAATTAAAGAGTGCTTTCGAAACCATCGCTCAGGAAATGAGTATGGATTTCCAACTCTCATCCCTGGCTACCAAACCTCGCGTTCTCATCATGGTTTCGAAAATCGGTCATTGTCTTAATGATTTACTTTTCCGTCAGAGTATCCAACAATTGGGTATCGAAGTCCCCCTCATCGTATCCAATCATCCGGATTTCGAACCCCTGGCCAATACCTACAAGATTCCCTTCCATCATCTCCCTGTTAGCGCTGCGACCAAAGCCGAGCAGGAGGGCAAGATCTTGGAATTGGTCAAGGAGCACAATATCGATCTGATTGTCCTGGCGAGATACATGCAGGTTTTGAGTCCTACGCTCTGCACGGCGATGAGCGGGAAAATTATCAATATCCATCATTCTTTCCTGCCGTCGTTCAAGGGCGCGAAACCATATCATCAGGCGTATGATCGCGGTGTAAAGATTATTGGGGCCACGGCACATTTTGTCACGAGCGATTTGGATGAGGGTCCGATTATTGAGCAGAATGTGGTGAGGGTGGGTCATGGATTGAGTCCCAAGGAGTTGACGGTCGAGGGAAGTAATGTGGAGAGTAATGTTTTGGCGACGGCGGTGAAGTGGGTTACGGAGAGAAGGGTTTTGTTGAATGGTCATAAGACGGTGGTTTTTAATTAGATAGGGGGTTGTGAGAGGGGGTGATAGGGAGGACTATTCCGTGGAGGGGATGTATATATGATATGCTATAACATGATAGGAATATGTAGGTAGGAGAAAGAAGGAAAGGAATAAAAGTTTATTTGTTGCATACTTTATAAAACTAAGATGTTCATTCATAGGTATGGTCTACTCTGAAGTCAAAGTTATACATTATTATATATTCTCATCTCCTCTCTCATCTCCTCTCTCATCTCCTCTCTCATCTCCTCTCTCATCTCCTCTCTCATCTCCTCTCTCATCTCCTCTCTCATCTCCTCTCTCATCTCCTTTCTCATCTCCTCTCTTATCTCCTCTTTTATCTCCTCTCTCCTCTCCTCTCTCATCTCCTCAAACTACCTAGATAGGTAGGTAGCCAAATACCACAATCACCACAATCACACCCTATCATTTCTTGTTATGTTAAATATTGGATCTGATGTTGATTGGTTTATATTGTAAGTATTGGGTATTGTGTATTGTGGTGTTGTGTGTTGTAGTTTTGTGGGATTGGGATTGGGATTGAGATTGGGATTATGGCATTGGAATTAGAATTAGAAGCAGAGAGGTGAGGTGAGGTGGGTGTTTGGAGGAGATATGATATATTTGAAGGGAATGTATTAGGAGGAGATATATTTGGAAGAGATATAATAGTCGGTTCTTCAAGCGACCGACTAGTTTCTAGTTGGGGAAAGCAAGTGTTTTTGGAAAGCGAGTATCCCTGTGAGATTTTGAATATAGATTTTGCAATTTTTATTGAAAAATATTTGAATTTTATAAATAATATTATAAATTTTGAAGCAATTCAAAAAAATCTAATATTATTAGAAAACTATAATCTTATTGAATATAATTATATAAAAAGTTTATAAATTATTCAAAAATTGAAAATTGTATATTAAAAATAAAACTAGATTTTTAATAAAATTGAATAATTTTAGTATATTTTGTATTCAAAATCTTATGAGAATACTTGCTTTCTAAGGATACTTGTTTTCCCTGATTAGGAACTAGTCGGCTGTTTATAAGAGCCGACTATTATTTAGAGGAGATATATTTAAAGAGAATATATTTGAAGGGGATATATTTGAAAAAGATATATTTGGAGGAGATATATTTGGAGAAGATATATTTGAAGGGGATATATTTAAAGGAGATATATTTAGAGGAGATATATTTAGAGGAGATGTATTTGGAGGGGATATATTTGAAGAGAATGTATTTGAAGGGAATATATTTAAAGAAGATATATTTAGAGGAGATATATTTGAAGAGAATATATTTGAAGGGGATATATTTAAAGGGGATATATTTGGAGGAGATATATTTGAAGAGAATATATTTGGAGGAGATATGATATATTTGGAGGGAATATATTTGGAGGAGATGTATTTGGAGGAGATATATTTGGAGGAGATATATTTGAAGAGAATATTTGAAGGAAATGAGAGTATTTAATATTCAGTATTCAGAATTTTTTCTTTAATTTTTTTATCGTTTATTTTTCTATATATTTTATTTTTTATCTTCAATCTTTTATACATATAAATCGGAGGAGAAAACTTATAGGATATTTAAGAATAGATTTTCTTTATATATATAATTAATGAAGTAGAGAAGGAGAAGGAGAAGAGGAATAATAAAAGTATTTTAATATAGTATTAGAAGGGGTAATAAATATATAAATGAGTATATAGATGAGTGTATAGATGAGTGAATAGATGAGTATATATATTAGTGTGTATATGAGTGTATATATCTATATCTATATATATAAGTATAAATTATAAATAAGAATATAGATTTTTATATAGTTAATTAGTTAGTACTTTCAACTAATATTGTATTTAGGAGAGAATAGAGATGAGATGAGATGAGATGAGATGAGAAGATGAGATAAAAAGGAGAATAAGAGAAAGAAAATAATAAAGAGAAAGATAAAGAAGATAATTAATATTCTTCTAATTATAGAGTAGTAGGTAAGGATATATAGATACTTTATTATAAGAGGATATAATATATAGTATATAGTATATCTATAGTCCTAATAAATATTAATTTAATTATTTATTTATTTATCTATTTATCTATTTATCTATTTATCTATTTATCTATTTATCTATTTATCTATTTATCTATTTATCTATTTATCTATTTATCTATTTATCTATTTATCTATTTATCTATTTATCTATTTATTCATAATATTAAGATTTAGATACTCTATATAACTAGCTAGATAGATAAAGAGTTATAACGATACTCCTTCTTATTCTTCTCCTCCTTCTTATACTCAATACTAATATTAATACCATCTCAAATCTCAAATCTTAAGTCTCAAGTCTTTAGTCTTATTAATATCTAGGATATCTAACATCTAATTATAAAATAGATGTAATAGATAGACTCGATAATTAAATGAACATTATGATTTTCTTATTATAAATACCTACCTAGATATTTATCTAGATATCGATCGTAGAGAACTCCTTCCTCCCCCCCCCCCCTCTCTCTCTCTCTCCCTCCCTCATACTCTATTTATTTTCTATCTATTTTCTTTTCTTCCCTTCCCTTTCCTTTCATCGAATCTAATTCGAATTCAAATCTTGAGAGAAGATAGAGTAGAGCCATCCATCTAGATAATTAATTGATTGATTAATAAATAAATCAGATTAATCGATTGATCGATCGATTAATTAATTCATCGATGGAGTTACTCACTCGTAGCTTGTTAGATGTTCTTACCTATCCTACCTAGATATGGATTGTCATCAGAAGTTTCTTTATACTTGTTATTTTTATAGATTGTCGATTTTTTATTTTGATTCTTGGTAGTGCGTGTATCGTAGTATATTTATTACCTAGTGCTATGGTGAAGTGCTATGGTGAAGTGCATGAAACGATGAGATTGAGGTGTTTATGCTATGTTATGCTATGCGATGCTATGCTATGCTATGCTATGCTATGCGATGCAATGGATACCTATGTGTGTATATGGATGGGTTTGGGATTGGGGTTTGAGGCTCGTGCGTGGCTGTGGCTGTGTTTGGTAGGAGGTGTGATTTTTGGATTTTGGAGTAGGTAGGTAGCTGGAGGTGTAGGTGGGTTAGGTGGTGAGTGCTGGCCCCGGTGATAAGTGGTGGGTGATAATTGTTGGATGCGATGGATAGGTGGGATGGAGAGTAGATATCGGGTGATGGGTTATGTACTAGGTATGTATGTAACTATATATGTATATGAGTAGAGTACGAAATATGATGTCTAGATATATGTAGATGTGTAGGTAGATAGATATGAGTAAGTATATATTAATTGAGATTTAATATTAGTATTAATTAATATCAATATTATAATATCAGAGATAATAACATTACAAGTGATTGTACCGGTACTTGAGTATGAAGGAGAGATTGATATTATCAATTTTTGAAATTACATCATCATCATCATCATGCTTGAAGTACGTACCTACTGATTGGTAGACAAAAAGTCGTAAGGAAAATTACCACCGTAGATAAGCTTGAATGCTTGAATGATCATAATCCCACTTATCGTACATGCGTTGGCAAATGTAGGTTGGATGGTTGGATGTAGTTGAGGTAGCTTGGGATGCGGGAGTTGAGTTGGTGATATGGGTGAGGGGAATTGGGATGGGATAGAATGGGATGGATGGATGGGTTGATTGGATGAAAGAGGAGGAGATGGAGGGAGATGGGTGAGGGGGGGTTGGATGGAGGGGAGATCTGATTGAATTGGAGGCTCGGAGGATGGTTTGAGGTTGTTATGGAGTCTTTGGATATGTATGTGGTAGGTAGGTTTGTAGTGGGGATTTTGATATGTGGTAGGTGTGTATGATATGAAAGACTGGATATGTGATGTAGATGCAGATGCAGTAGAGACCACGCGGAGTGATGGATTTTATGAGGAGTCTCACGTGGAAAGAAAATATGATTTGGTTGGAGAGGAGAGGAGAAGATGTGTACTCCCTGGTATGTATGTATGTATGTATGTATGTAGGTATGTATGTATGTACTTGCCCCTCTGTTACTTTTTGTTCTAGTCGTCTTCGATGCATAATCAATGTTGATGACAATAATTAAACCTTCTATTGATGGACTCGTGTTTTATATGTTGATAATTATTTGGGTTATGGAGATTTATTTCTGTGTCAAGATTGAATGATACTTGGATGGGTAGTATTGAAATAAGGTATGATTTATTTGTAACGTTTTATATTATATTGTGACTGCTAACAAGTAATATCTATGTCACTCCCTCTTGAGCTACCTCGACTTTTATATATATCTCCTTACCACATGGGCGTCCACTAGAGAGTATCCACTAGAGAATGAATGGATTTTTCTCTATTACTTGTATAACAATTTAATCAATGTAATATAAAATTAGATCAACACGAGTGAATGGCTTGATACAGCCAGCTAGCTAGACAGCCAGACAGACAGATAGACAATCAAACAGACAGACAACCAACCAGCCAACCAACCAGCCAAGTCTATCCTCTCCCAAACCAGATATCCATTTCCACCAAATCTATAAGGATGCTATGGAACCATCTATCCCAAGTCCAATCCAAAGACGACGAGAACAAATCGAATCCCCCAGTCTAAATTTCGCATCAGAAGCAAAGCATCGAATCCACTCATAATCCATATCCATATCCATAATCCATCACCCAGATATCAATCATCTCCTCTAATAAGGCTTTAACTCCGTGTACCACCATATCAGCGAGGGAAGATTTTCATTGGATTGACGGTCCCCGATCCACTGGGAGCAAAGCTAATATAAGATGTAAAGCTAAGGAGATGTAAAGCTAATGAGATTCCACGTTATTAAGATCCCAAGTTATTAAGATCCCAAGCTATTAAGATCCTAAGCTAGGTGGTATCTATAATCATAATACTCCGCTCCGTACAGACCACCGAGACCACCAAGCAGTAAAATGTTCAATGCACGGATTC